ACAACCACAACCACAACCACAACAACAACAACAACAAGAACAACAAGAACAACAACAACAAGAACAACAACAACAACAACAACAACAACAACAACAACAACAACAACAACAACAACAACAACGACGACAGCAACGACAGCAACGACAGCAACGACAGCAACAGCAACAACAACAACAACAACAACAACAACAACAACAACAACAACCACACCAACAACCTACAACAACTACAACAACTACAACAACTACAAAAACGACGACGACCGAGGATCGAACACTACCGCGACGGCGAGGATTCCATGTGTCTTCTTGTTGCAGCCATGGTTTTGAGCCCTAAGCCCTCAAGCCAAAAAGGGGTTTTGGGGTTTAGGGTTTAAGGTTTAGGGTTTGGGGGTTTAGGGCTTAGGGTAGCTCTCCATATAGTCCAATATGGTTCAACGAAGAGGTCTTATATGAAAGGACCCGGAGTACAATTTCAGGTCTGTTGCACTTTATGCTCGAGGGTTGAGGTCTGGGACATAGGGGCTGGTATATTCCCTCAAAAAGACGTTAGAATCAAGGAAAAACCTGACCCCAAAAACCCAAAACCAAACCCCCAAATCCAAAGCCCTAAACCCTAACCCCCAAACCCTAAGCCCGAAACCCTAAACCCCAAACCATGAACCCTAAACCCCAAGCCCTGAAACCTGAACCCTCAAAGTGTCTCACTCACTTGAGCCGGGTCGCGTGACGACAGCCTCCCCCTGTCTTCCAGGAGCCACCTTCACCTTAGGATTTAGGGATTTGGTTTAGGATTTAGGGTTTAGGGTTTAGGGTTTAGGGGCGTCGAGGGTGAGGGCTTCAATTTTACAGGGTTTAGGGTTGAGGGTTTGGGATCCTAAACCCTGAACCCTAAAGCCCACACCCTAAACGCCTAAGCCCTTAACCCTTAAACCCTACATCCAGATGAGGGTTTCCGGGTTTAGGGTTTAAGGTTTAGGGTTGAGGGTAAGTCCGTTAGAGTGAAAGGTTTATGGGGTTTAGGGCTTAGGGGGTTTAGGGTCTAGGGTTTTATGAGGTTTAGGATTTAGGGGGTAGGGTTTCAAAACCAGCGAGCAACGATTTTGCATGCAGGTTTCTGTTGGGGTGTGTACGGGAACTTGATGCAGCTGCAACGGCTGCTAAGGGTTGTAGGCTTTGGGGGTTTAGGGTTTAGGGGGCTCTATAACCTTAATTATAGATACCCCTCAACCCTCAACCCTTATAACCCCTCAGCCCTACACCGACAAGTCCTAAACCTTAAACCCTAAACGTACAAAAAACTTACGGCAGCGCCTGCTCGATGAGATCGTCGACGTCCAGCTGCCAATCCTCCCGAAACCGCTTCCTGGCACTTCTGTTGGTCCTCTAAAGGTTCTATAGTCTGCATTTAGAACGGTTGTGCAAGGGCTTTAAAAGATTGCTGTGCGAGTTCGATTAGATGTGTTCTCTAAGTGCTTGCAACGTTAGGGTTCATAGGGGATGTACCGCGGTTGTGCATAAGGATTCCGGTTACGGTGCTATGCGAGAAGCCCCTATACACCCCTTATGCCCGAAAAGCCGGAAACCCTAAAACCGAAAGTCTTGTCCCAAATCCTAAACACCCCAACACCCCCAAATCAGGGCCCATGAGACCAACCTATCTAAACCCCCAAACCTGTAAACCATAAACCCTAAACCCCAAAGCAAGGGAAAGTCACGAGCCATGCTCTGGGGTTTAGGGTTTAGGGTTGGGGGTTTAGGGTTTAGGGGTTTAGGGTTTTAGGGTTTAGGGTTTATGCACCCTATAAACCCTCTAAGCCCTATAAACCCTACAACCCTTTAAACCCTAAACCATATAAACCCTCAAAACCCTATACACCCTAAACCCTATAAACCCGAGGGCTTCGGGTTTAGAGCCCTAAACCCTAAACCCTAAACCCTAAACCCTAAACCCTAAACCCTAAGCCCTAAACTCTGAGCCGGGCTTCGACACGCTGGGGAAGGAGGAAAGTCGCCGCTGGGGCGCAGCCGGTGGTCTGAAGCTCCGTAGCCGAGAAATCACCTGACTGAATAGAATAGGGTTAAGGTCTTAGGGTTTAGGGTTTAGGGTTTAGGGTTTAGGGGCTTAGGGTTTAGGGTTTAGGGGCTTAGGGTTTAGGGTTTAGGGGCTTAGGGTTTAGGGTTTAGGGTTTAGCCGGACGCATATCGCAAGGCTCTCCTGTCCAATTGCCATACGATGTGAGTGGAGCAGAGTTGCGGTCTAAGCCTTTCGGGTGAGGGGTCTTACGAAGCGGGTTCTTTACATAGGTTTATGAAAATATTCTCACGGGCTTTGGGATTTCGGGAAACTTTCACACGACTTGGAGGCCTTTGGGCGAAGGGTTTAAGGCTTTTGCTGCTGATTAAGGGCAGGGGGAAGGTTCAACAAGTTTCTATTTCGTCTAGCTTCCCTAAACCCTAAACAACCCTAAACCCTAAACCCTAAACCCTAAACCCTAAA